GAGGAATAGCGTAAGGGTCCCCCTAGGGTTTGAATAGGGATAGGTGAGACGCTGCTCGCTGATAATTTTGTGCCGGGCCACGCAGGGCTTTTCTTCAGGGAGCCATTAATTAACTTTAGCACAGAGCAACGACGTCGCGTGATTTCTGTGTGTGTGGGAAAAACGTAGGGGTGGCGTGAGTACGTGCGTACGTGTGAAGCGCGCAGATATTTAATCATAAGACGATCGCTGACGTTCGCGTGCGCACGATCGCGTGCGTGTTTACCCAGCACATTTTACGCAGTGGGTGTACGTAGCGACGATCGCATGAAGGGTGTCGGCGTGGGGCGTAATTCGAGCGAGTGTCTGTGGGGGCCACGCGGGCAGGAATTCATTAACCACCCCGCGTCTGCACAGCGGCGCCGCGACAGCAATAGGGCGAGGGAGGGGTGGGTTAAACCCGTTCGGGTGCGTGTTTACTCAGCGTGTTTTACGCAGTGTGTTCACGTAGCGAAGATAACGCTCAGCGGTGCAACGCGCGAATATTGCCATCGATTCGATCATTGTGTGCCCGGTGCTTGCGCTCGCACGCGTGCCTACACTTTTGCCGCCAAGGCGGAGGGAAGCTGACTTGGCGGGAGGGGGGAGCGGCGCGTGCATATTCATACGGCTATTTTTTGCGCGAGCCATGGTCAGCAGCAGGTACGGTTGCGCGCGTGCACGCAGCCACCGCAGCGTAAGTGGTGGTTTACGCGGGGGAGGCAGGATAACGCGAGGCGGTGGGGAGCCAGCCACGAGTCATGCCCCACAGAGAGGATGCGGATGCAGGGAGGCCGATCACCCGATCGGCGGCAGCCCGGCGGGAAGCAGAGGAGGAAGAGGGGGGAGAGGAGGAGAGGAGCATTAGCCCTCACAACCGCCTCCTTAATCTGGACCCAATCAGGTGCGCACACTCGGTATGCGGGGAGTTTAATGGGTCGGGCTGCACCTGTGTCAATTTGGTGCTTAACGAGGTCTGTCCGGCCCACATCCGAATAGTGCTCACTAAACACGTCGGAGTACTCCCGCAGTAATCCTCGCAGTTGATTGGCCTCCACCTTGGTTAAATCTGCCCAGGGTACATGAAGCGCATCAAGCAAGGGGACGACCTCTGCTCTGGGGGTCGAACCGACCCACCATACCAGGTCCTGGTTGTCCTCGGGGCAGCAGGGGTGCTCAGCCCAGAGGGCAAACACCAAGCTCCTAGAGTGGCGTGCGTGCTGGGGGTATACTGTGGCTACCGTGGTGCGCCGTCACAGTGTTGCTGGGGTACTGTGGGGGTTAAGCACTTGCAAAAACAATCGGCCCCCGTCAGCGTTTACCAGCGTGGCCGACCCCACAACCCCGTACCGTGCCGCCAACTCTGAGTGAAGAGTCAACATTACCTCACCCGACGGTCGGTGGGAGGGGTCAGTGGAGGGCGTTGTTACCGGCACCAGCATCTCCGCGAGGGGCCCAATGGTGACACCCGACACCAGGATGGCGGCCACGGGTTCGAAGCAGTGGTGATCCGGCTCCCGTCCCAGGAACAGAATCCGCTCCCCACTGCCCTCGACGGTGGCGCATCGCTGGCGGGGCTACATGTTGAGCCCCAGCTTTTCCAGGAGGTTGGTACCTGCATTACACTCGTGACACAACATGCTCGACAACATAGAATTCTTGGTCACACACCTGGTGTCCGAGGCGGACCTCCAGGGTGACCCTCCCCAGCAGTCCCATCCCAGCTCCACTCGCAGTGTGCAGTGCGCTATCCGGGGCCTGTAGGCAGCCAACGTCAATTACGACCGTGTTGCAGTGTGCTGCGTTCATGAGCGAGGCTACCGCCCCCGTGTCCAACAGAATCCGGGTACGCCACCCGTTCACCCGCCTTCCACCAGCAACGTGCCCCCCGTGATTCCTGCCACTAGCTCCCATAGCCAGTCGCCCGCAGTCGCCGTGTCCTTGGGTGTTGTTGTCGGGATCTGCGTGGGGGTCACTCGCTCACCATTATTATTGTCTATTTGATTGGCTAAAGGATTTCGTCTATAATTAGCAGAATTGGATATGTACGGTGAGAAATAAATAAATAAAACATACATCTATGCAAGCGCCATATAAAGGTAAAGATTATTATTGTAACAAGGTGAATGCTATGGATCTTATTTCGTCTCATGCTCTCGGATACAGATCTACCAAACCTGCAATACCACCGATGCTGGCCGCTCCCACTATGCATCATACAAAAAGTCTACCCACACCTCCACATCCACAAACTGCTGGGGTTCATCTCATGCTCTCTCAAGACTCCGAACTCTCCAGCTTCTTGCTGCCTCCATCGACGACTAGGAGGTTAAACCCACATTCTTGTAATGAGACCCGTGATTAAGGTGAATTGCTCAATGTTACACATCTACCTGGTTTCCATTTGACTCTGTATTGCCTAAAAAGTCCATCCACACCACCACATCCACAAACTGCTGCGAGTGGCATCGCTCTGCCTCACTCAGAATTCTCCTCCTTTATGCTGCCTCCATCAATGTGAAGGTCGGATTTTGGAGTTATTCATCCTCACATTTAAAATCCCTTGTTCATATTTCACCTTCACTCCTGGTCACATTTCAGATCTGGATTTTTTCTGGCTCTTGTTTCATGAGGGATGGTCTCATTGCAGCACTTTGGCTTTCACACGTCAATTTCAAACTATGCTCCTTGTGAATCTTCTGATGCCTGTTTCGGTTCTTTAAGTTTCTGTACACAGTGCACTTGAAGGGCTTCTCTCATGCGTGTGTTCTCTGGTGCCACTTCAAGTTTTCAGTGTTATCCGTGCTGTACGAAACACTGCTCGCACTGGTACTTTATAGCACTCAGCTGGGTGGAGGATTTCTCCTCCATGCGATTTATTATGCAGATAAACATACATATTACTCACAATATACACACCCATTACAATGACAAGGATTCCCTGTATATCCATAAAAGACTGTTGGGGCAAGTGCTGTTAGCAAGCACCTTTGGAGCCCTGCACAGCGCACGAGGGGGTTGGTGGCCATCGTCATGTCCGGGCGACTTTGTCTCCCAGGATCCGATGTTTACACATCATACCAGCTTCTCATTTTAGGCCGAGTCTACCTAGGGAAGGCCCAGGAACAGTTCAGATGAACATCACTGGTGTCGGTCGTGAGTGGTAATTGAACTCATGTCGATGGGTTTGTAGCACAGCATGCGAACCCTACGACAACAGCGCCCTACACACCAGCTTTGGATCATCATCGCAAGTAAGTACATTATCTACACTTTGTCTAGGAATTTTTATATGGGGCTTTTACATGTTTATTCGTATTTTTGTTAATTTGGCATCCAATAAAGTTCTTATGTAAAATTGTGATGCGTCTCTTTTTGCTTACTGTGAACCTAATACCATTATTTTGGTAAGAATTTAGTATTGAATATCCCAGTTTTGGCTTTGGTGGCACGTTCCAAGAACGTAACCCTTGTGATATGCAAATGTCTCCTGTAGGCTTAAAAACAGATAAGTGTTCATCAAATTATAATTCAACTTATCCAAAAGTCATATGGACAACATTGGATAGTTGCATTTAAACCCACTGCATAACATTACATCGTATTTATTGCAAACTAATCTCCGACTGGATGATGCCTACACCTGCAGCCACTCAGAATGAGGTAAGTCAAGTGGTAGCACGTTTTATATTTGTTAAGGAGGCTCACAGTTCAAATCTGTCAAGCAGTCCTAATGATTACTTCAGTAACATTAACGAAAAATATGCATAATCTACTTAACAATTGATGATCAACATTTTCTGGCATCAAGGTCAAAACATGCCAAATTCGAAACATTTGCCACTTTACCCCCACTGGGATTACACATTCAATCATCGCTCCACCCTACTGGCATACTCATGTCCACTTGTAGGTCGGTACTGAGTTACCATTTACCACACATGGACAGCTGCCACTTGGGAGTGCCCTTCATGTCTTTGAGATGGGATATGACACAAACTGATTTGAGTTGCTGAAGCAATTAAGTAAGCAGCATGTAAATGGAAAAGCGTTTTACAATTACAAGGTGAATGCTATGGAGCTGTATTGTCTTACGCTCCTGGATACAGATCTACCTCTACATCCACAAACTGCCCGATTTCTCATAGAGAGTTCAGGAGTTGGAAAGTTTGATAACATGAAATACCAAGGCAGGTGTTTTGTTTTAGTGGAAGACATGCAAGGCCACACCCCTTCATGACACACTCCAGTAAGTAGCCATTACCAGATCATTCACATGGTTGTCCAGTTGGCAACGATATCTTGAAAACCTCCCAATGTAACTGCACCTCATGTGAATTCTTCTTTTAGCGCCATTGAAAGAGTCTCTAACAACATGAGCAATGATCAGTTTAACACGTAGGCTTTCGCGACCAATATTATTCATAATAGAGGTTTTTGAGTTCTGTAAATGTTGTGGATTCACTCTTCAACACACCCGTGGGCTAAAGTAGTGAATTATTTGTCTTTTGTCAACGTGACACTTTTTTGCTGATTGGCCGTGTCGGGTGGTGGAGGGTTACGACACATTTATAAATAACGCGATCTAACTCAAAAACCTTTATTATGAATGAGCAATGATGATGTTAAGTAACATAATGTACGGGCTATAGAGCATACTTGTCATACCTCAACTTGAACAGCAAATGGGCACGTCTCCTGATCCGGAAGCTGTAGTCGGTCCTGGTTGACTAATAACGCCTTGATATCTGTTGAATGCGGATTCCAGGATGTCTGCTCGGCTGGATCTGGCTCCAGTCATCACGACGGGTAGACAGTCCTCTACTCAGCACAGGATAAGGCCAAAGAGGAAGAGGCTCTTGTTCTGAAAAATATAACTACAGTTGCGTGGGAACGTGATTGTGAGAAGTGTAATGCAGAGACTGTTGCGAGTACCTTTAAAGGTGGGTGCGGTGCACAAGGGGTGCCAATAGCATTCCAAGCACTGTGCACGTACACATAACACAAACTCACTCGCAAGCAATATATATACACATATACAGTGAGGGAAAAAAAGTATTTGATCCCCTGCTGATTTTGTACGTTTGCCCACTGACAAAGAAATGATCAGTCTATAATTTTAATGGTAGGTTTATTTGAACAGTGAAAGACAGAATAACAACAACAAAATCCAGAAAAACACATGTCAAAAATGTTATAAATTGATTTGCATTTTAATGAGGGAAATAAGTATTTGACCCCCTCTCAATCAGAAAGATTTCTGGCTCCCAGGTGTCTTTTATACAGGTAACGAGCTGAGATTAGGAGCACACCCTTAAAGGGAGTGCTCCTAATCTCAGCTTGTTACCTGTATAAAAGACACCCTTCCACAGAAGCATTCAATCAATCAGATTCCAAACTCTCCACCATGGCCAAGACCAAAGAGCTCTCCAAAGATGTCAGGGACAAGATTGTAGACCTACACAAGGCTGGAATGGGCTACAAGACCATTGCCAAGCAGCTTGGTGAGAAGGTGACAACAGTTGGTGCGATTATTCGCAAATGGAAGAAACACAAAAGAACTGTCAATCTCCCTCGGCCTGGGGCTCCATGCAAGATCTCACCTCATGGAGTTGCAATGATCATGAGAAGGAATCACTCCATAACTACACGGGAGGATCTTGTCAATGATCTAAAGGCAGCTGTGACCATAGTCACCAAGAAAACAATTAGTAACACACTACGCCATGAAGGACTGAAATCCTGTAGCGCCCGCAAAGGGCCCCCTGCTCAAGAAAGCACATATACATGCCCGTCTGAAGTCTGCCAATGAACATCTGAATGATTCAGAGGACAACTGGGTGAAAGTGTTGTGGTCAGATGAGACCAAAATGGAGCTCTTTGGCATCAACTCAACTCGCCGTGTTTGGAGGAAGAGGAATGCTGCCTATGACCCCAAGAACACCATCCCCACCATCAAACATGGAGGTGGAAACATTATGCTTTGGGGGTGTTTTTCTGCTAAGGGGACAGGACAACTTCATCGCATCAAATGGACGATGGACGGGGCCATGTACCGTCATATCTTGGGTGAGAACCTCCTTCCCTCAGCCATTGAAAATGGGTCGTGGATGGGTATTCCAGCATGACAATGACCCAAAACACACGGCCAAGGCAACAAAGGAGTGGCTCAAGAAGAAGCACATTAAGGTCCTGGAGTGGCCTAGCCAGTCTCCAGACCTTAATTCCATAGAAAATCTGTGGAGGGATCTGAAGGTTCGAGTTGCCAAACGTCAGCCTCGAAACCTTAATGACTTGAAGAAGATCTGCAAAGAGGAGTGGGACAAAATCCCTCCTGAGATGTGTGCAAACCTGGTGGCCAACTACAAGAAACGTCTGACCTCTGTGATTGCCAACAAGGGTTTTGCCACCAAGTACTAAGTCATGTTTTGCAGAGGGGTCAAATACTTATTTCCCTCATTAAAATGCAAATGAATTTATAACATTTTTGGCATGCGTTTTTCTGGATTTTGTTGTTGTTATTCTGTCTCTCACTGTTTAAATAAACCTACCATTACAATTATTGAGTGATCATTTCTTTGTCAGTGGGCAAACGTACAAAATCAGCAGGGGATCAAATACTTTTTTCCCTCACTGTACACACACAATGCGCTCACAAATACACGTGTACATTATACAAACTCTTTAACATTTAGGTGGTAAAGTAGAGCAGTGATAACTCTCGCACTTCACAGCAATAAGGATCCTGGGTTTGATGCCTAACTCGGTCTTTTCTGTTTGGGTTTGTCATTTCTTCTCCTGTTCTGCATTGGTGTTACACTGGGTTGTCCGTTTTTCTTCCAAACCTAACCTCATTAAATATAGTGTGTGTTTGCCAAACAGTCCAATTCAGCACCCTCGTTGCAGCTAGATTAAAAATTAGACCGGAAAACCCTCTCACACAGCACAGAATTTATATTGTTCCAATTAATGCCCACTGAGCTATATAGCTATTTTTCAAAAGCAACCTAACCATAAATGATAGTGCAACCAAGTCGCTCATTACATGGACATTTATAGCTGCTAAATGTTTCTAAATGTGGAGCGGAAAAACTGTAGGACCCAGAGAAAAAGTCAGCGCGACCTCATGGAGAACATGCAAACTCCAAATATTCAGGCGCCAGGGTCGGGTTTGAAGCCACGACCTCGTGTTTCCCAGACGAGGTAGTGAACATCTCGCCACGCAGCATAATATATACATAAACACATGACAATCAACACACTCCCTCACTGTATACACTCCACACACGTTACTCAAGCACTCGCCCAGAAGGCGCTGTAGCCGGATAAAATGATGCCGTGACAGAATGAATGATTTATTGGGTTAATCTTTAGGACCATATATGCAGTAATTGGGCGTGGTTTGCCCATATAAGGAATACTGGAACAGGAATTGACATTTTTAACGATCCAATGCTCGATTAAACGGGAATCGACCATTTTTTTCCAATACAAAGCTTGGCTCATGCTCAAACAGACACAGGTATTCAAAATATCACAGCTTTATCCGTGTTTGATCGGATATTTTTAATACCTGTGTAGTGTGTTTCAGAGGGACGCACACACTATAACTTGGAGGCAACACGTTTAATAAACAGCTCCGTAACACACCGGGTTCTCTAACTAGGTGTGGCTATCGATCACTATTTGCGTGTGAGCTTAAGCTGTCCGAATGGGTCAGTAGCACACATGCTACCTGACCCACGGATCCCAGCTAAACTACACAACGAACGAGGAGCGGGCAGCGAAGAGAGAAGTCATTTCCAGTTGATGCCCATTACGAGCCCCGAATCCCCTCGGCGCTCCCCCTTTATTTTCCAAGCATCGGCCTCGCTCCGCCCTCAGCCCTGTTCCTGGCCCCGCCCCCTGCTGCATCAAGCCCGGGCTCCCAGCCTCTGATCACGTGTCCCTTAAAAGCCTCCAATGGAGGCTCCCGACGCTCAACGGGACTCCAGAACCCGAGGCTGGCGCAACAGCACAGTGACCCTTATTTGTGTCACTACACTACCCCCCCCCCCCCCCCCCCCCCCATTTATAAAGATCCAGCCGACCCGGCTGAGAAACCCCCGAAATTCCAAAGGGGAGAGGAGAAAAATTTTCCAAAAAAAAACTCCTCAAAGATACCCACAAACCAATCCGGCTGTTAAATACCCGAACTTCAAAGGGAGAAGAGAGAGAGAGAGGAGAAAAAAATCTCAATGCTTCACGCAGCCAATCCGGCTGATCATTGGTTCTGAGTTGCCAACGTGTGTGGCCCCCAATTTAAAACCCGAACAATAACAGTGAACGACGTTCAAAGAAACAAGCAACAATTAACAATAAACAACCCGCGGTGGGAAATGTAACTCCAACACCATACACCTTGTTCGCGAGGGGAAGAGAAGTAAAGGTTGAACCCGGCGTGGCACGGGCCAAACCGCCCTCCTGGCAGCCAGCACCCTCCCCACGAGGGCAGGAAGAATCTGGTTCCGCCAACGGCTCCACCGGCTCGTGTGTGAGACCACAACCCAGACAGTGTGCAGCGAATGTCAGGCGTGCAGGCGAGAGTCATTTAATCCATTCAGTTTTTGCACGTGACCTCATCGCCGGGCCCCCAGACGGGGTGAGGGAGGCCTTTCCGGGCGTCCCTGGGCTGAATGACGCTGGCTCAAGGGCCCCGGCCCCTCCCGTGGAGATGAAGAAGAAGACGAGGCCTGCTCCACTGACCTTAGGCGCTGGGCCCCTGTGGGAATAGAGGCAGAAATCCCCTGAGGCACTACATCCCTGGACCCCTGCCCCAGCGCGTCGGGCGTACCCGACACACAGCCCTTGGGTAGTGGCAATGAAGGGGCGCCGTCCGGCGGACATAAGGGTTTCAGACGCGACGCATGCATGAACCAGCGCCTGCGACCGAACTGGATGTGGACACTCTGAGGGCTTCTAAACTCCACAACTTCCATGGGACCCCGCCAAGGTTTATATAGTTTAGGGGACGTCCCCACCGGGACCTGGGGCCAATCGAGCCATGCCCTATCCCCTATCGGCCATTTGGTCCCTGTCTCTCAGAGCCCAGCCCGGCACTCGTTCGCAGCTTGGCATATTGCCGAATACCCCCTGGAAGCTTCCCTAGCATCAGCTAAGCGTTGGAGGGCCAGGCGCATGGGGGTGGGCATGGCCTTGCTTGCTAGACAGGGATTCAATTGACTATCAATTGGTGGATCCTGTTCCCTCCCATACATGAGGAAAAACGGCGAATAGCCGGTGGAAGCATGAGGAGGCAATCGGTATGCAGCGAGAAGACCCGGGACTGGCAGGTCCCAGTCCGTCTGCTCCGCATTTACCTGCTGACACAGCATGGATGTCAGGGTCCTGTTGAGGCGTTCCACCATGCCGTCAGTTTGTGGGTGATAGAGCGAGGTACAGACCTTCTTTGTCCCCAACAGGGCACATACCTCTTTGAGCAGTGTAGATTACAATTTTTTGCCCTGATCTGTCAGAAGGTGTTCCGGGGCTCCCTTATTTAAGACATACCTGTGGAAATTTGTTGCAGCAAAATAATCGAAATAATCTAGATGTATGTTTACACATTGCACGACGTAAGAGTACAAGGGAGGCACATAACCGGTTCAGATATTCACTGCCACTGTTGATAGCCTTGAGAGTGAATTAAACTCTGTCCATAGAGCTAGTAATTGACTGTGATAACTACTGCACCACCACTCCCAACATTACACTTTCACACACACATAGAAACACAATCATACACTCAGGTCTAAAATAATAAGCTGAATACTACTCGAATGGGGTTACATTTGATAACATGATCAGACGACCAAGCATTACGCTAATTTGGGATAGGTTTGGTACTTTCCATTGTCCTGATAAAGTTAAGCCCTGCCCTGTGATGTATACAACAATGCACGTGCTCCCCCATCACCTCCACATTCTGAATGATTCTCTGAATGAATCT